ATTATTATTATTATAAAGAAAAGTCTGAAGCTTGTGTAAGTCGTTCAGATGCACAACACGCACCTGTACGCATTTCGCAATCATAAGGCTTTAAACTTGAACGCGCTTCTGCCATGATAATCGTAGTCCTTTGCCGCATATGGCAATCGAAGAGATTTCTTTCGAGGGAAGTCAATTCCGCCCGGGTTTCCGCAAATGGCAACGAGGGTGGACGAACAACAGATCTAAACACAAGCGAAGAGCACAGACCTCCGGCGCCCGTCTCTCCCAATCCCGCTGTAACTGGTGCCGTTCCCAGCGTCAACTGCCGCTAGTTACTTAACCAGCGAATCCGATCTTTTGGATCATTGGTTCGCTGTTTTACTCTGCCCTTTTCTTGGTGTTCGATTTTACCAGGCATTTATTTTAAAGGCATTTTAGACGAAATAGTCCAGCACCGTGATCACGGGCCTCCATGCAGGATCTCTGGGATCACGCCATGGGATGCGGATATTTGAAAACCGCACCAAAAAAAAGATAACGGTATTCTTGACGTGGTCAAAAGAAATATTTTCAGAGACGAAATAAATATCCCATTGTATCCTACATTAAATTGTGTTTACAGAACCGTTTGGTCTCGCTTTATTCGTTTGCGTACAACAAAAACACCAGCTAACGGCGTTAGCGATTTCGCGTGCAAAAAGAAAAAGCCCATGTATCGAAATTTTTTGTTTTTGAAGGAATAGCCGCTGTCTGACTGGCCTAGAATACGCATGCGAATACGAATGTGACAATCTGAAGAAGTCTTCAATCCCTTCCTTAAACGTTAACAGAAATAGCGCGTATTACTTTTAACACTAAAATAAAGGCCGGGGTTTTCATGTCAGAAGCCCAGGATCACGCGAATGTGTGTCCAATTCTAAACCCTTCGAAACCGGGCCTCGCACTGAGTGTGTGTGTGTGTTGTTTTGTTGGATACCGCCCGCACGAAGACGAGTGGAAAATGGCTGAGACACTGCGACCACCCAGTGATGCCGGAGCGCGTACGACTAGACAAGGCAAGGTGACACAGACCCACACAAGAAGTACAGCACAGCGCGGAAGGGGAGCTTGTGCCCCTGGACTCCCACGGACACACACCTGTTTTTGGCGGCCGCCGCTCTGTCCCTTTGCCTCCGGTTTTTGAACCAGTTCCCCACCTGTGTGGGGGTGAGTCCGGTAGCCTGCGCCAGCTCCCTCTTTTTGCTGGGGTTGGGGTACGGGTCCTGCAGGTACCACTCTCTGAGCAAGTGTCGGGTCCTCTCTTTGAAGCAGTGAGTCTTTTGCTCCCCGTCCCAGATGGTCCTGGGCAAGGGAAACTTCTTCCTCACGCGGTACTTGTCCACCGGTCCCAGCGGACGGCCCCTGAGCTTCTCCGCCTCCTGGTAGTGCGCCTCCAGCCACAGCGCCTGCAGCTTGGAGTGCGACTCTTTGGTGAACTTGTGGTTTTCCAAGATGTGGTAGAGCTCGCGGAAATTCCCCGTGTGGAAGGCCACGATAGCCCGCGCTCTCAGCACGGACTCATTCTTGTTGAGGACCTCGCAGGCGGCCGGCGCCACGGGTAGCGACCACAGGAAGCGGCCGAGGCGCTCGATATCCCCGCTCTCCTCAAGAGTCTCGCACACCCCCGCGACCTGCTGGGGGCTAAAATTCAGGATGGGCAGCTGAAACATGGAGGCTTCTGTTTGTTCCCCTGTCTCTCTCTCACACCACACTCTTACCCTCTCTCTCCCTCTCTCCCTCTCTCTCTCTCTCTCTTTCGGGTCCAGACAAAAAAATGACAATCTCTAAGTCAACAGATCAACCGTTAAAAAAAAAAAACACACACACACACCGAGGAACGGTGCCCTCTGGCTGACTACAGCAGCCTCAGTGGGTGAACTTGGTAGCTTGAAAGTACGAGGGTATACAACCAGACCCGAGATGTTTTTGAAGAAGAAAAAAAGGCATTCAGCCCTGTGCCGATTTTCTATTGGACTTGGCAGATTGGTTGCGTGGTTGCCATGGAGGCCTGTCAATCAATGTCAAGTTTGCCAATCACGCGGAAAGGAGCGCAAAGAGATTTCAGCACCTCCCAGAGCTCAACAGCGCCTTTTAAAAAAATGTAAACATTCTGACCTTTGCTTTCCGTCTCCAAACGTTCAATGGCCTCGCCTGGCTCGGGCGGCGCGCGCCCCGGCTCGCGCTGGGAGGAAAGAAGGGGCCGGCGCGAGCATTCCGTTGCAACGCGACGCAGCCCACCGACAACAAGAGCGTTTCAAACGTGTTTTAGAAGAAAGAAAGGGGGGAAAAACCCCGAAAGCAAAACAAACCAAGCCAAACTAAGGCGTTTTGACACTCCCGCTTCCCCCCCAACCCCCAAACAAAAAAAAAATGAGAGCTTGACTGTTCATAAATCGGGATGAGCTAAAAACAATCGCTACCCCCGCTGTCTCAACGGGGGAAAAAAAAACCAAACGAAAAGCCGAAAATCACCCGTTTCACATCGAAGCAAAACACAGCAGTAGCTCCCTGCAGCCGACCCGGGCACTCACACGAATGAAGAGGCGGCTCTTCGGTTCAGCATTAAACGGTTTGAGCGGAGGAGACGTCTCACACGAGAGTGCGACAAGTGATCGGTAGGTCACGACAAGCACAGGGCATGTATTATGATACGACAGTACGAAGCGCAAGACAAACGAATCAAACGTTTTCGTTTTTATTCGGGTTGACAACGTCGTAAAATCGCAGGTTGTGTGTCTGTGTGCAGGAACCGATTTACAGACAAACGTTTTGTCCTGTTCATTGTATGTAAAATGTGTGTATCATGCCTAGCACCTATAGAGCACCCGGTTACTGGTCCATTTACCATCAGGATTTCCTCCTGTTTTCCGAGTCTCGGAAACTATGCTGCTCCTTGAAATCAATCAATTATTAAGCACCGAAAATGAATATATTTATGGATGGCGCAGCAAAGCACACTGCCACGCTATTCGGGTTTAGTATCAGACACAGCTCGCCCTGTGCCCGGGCTGATTTAGTAAATAAGAAGGCAGATAGATAGCGCAGATGGTTTGAAGTGTCGGGTCAGATTATTTCATGACTGGATACAGTGGAAAAGTTCATTCTGACGGAAAACCCTGATATTATTTTCACAGATCCACACAGTTCAATTGAAGAAAGCGCTTCAGGCCCTTTACATGATTTATACGCGGCTCATAGCTGAAGTTATAGAAATGCCTTCCGTACAAAAAGCTGCTCATTTTAATACAGTGCACTGAACCATGAGGCTAGTTGTGTGCATGTGTGTAGTAGAACCTTCTATCTATATTCACACACTTTGCTGAAATATCTTCAGACTCGGGAGATATATTAAGGTGATAAAAGCAAGTTTGTGTTTTTAACATTTTTAAATAAATATGCGGTAAAGCCTGGCCGGAATATAGGCTAGGATTAAAAACTGTCGGTCAACACATCGGGTTTTTCTAGTAATGTTTTCGTAATATAATGTATGATAAAAAAGCATTTTGTTTTAGTTACTTGAATTAGAATAAAGTAGCTAATGTTGCTTTCACTGGAGTTATTTTAATGCGACAATTCACAGTTTTTCTCAACATTCAGGCAAGCAACGAGGAATGGAAGAGTTTTTTTTTTCCAAAGGGCTTACATTTGTGATAGGTGACCTTGAAGAAACATCCACTTCGCTCATAAACATAAACTATTTTTTAAATGACATTTTTAGTGTGGCTCAAGTTGAATTTGTTTTTTAGATTGAAAAATATACCGCTGACTTCTGCTGAAGAAGGATTCCGTTGAAGTTTAAAATCTTTTCAGCATTGTGATTACACGCAACAGAATGGGAAAAAACAATGTATTGAATTGACGTTTTTTTAATAAAATAATGTTTAATGCAACACGCAGTTGTATTTAAAAATTAGTAGGCAGAATATGTTACATATTAATGGGGGAATATTTTCAAATGGTACATTTAAATCGTTTCCTTATTGACTGACAGAACGGGACTTGCTACACCAATGCATTAAAATAATTAAATAATTCACAATTCATTAAAGGAATCACCCATATGATTGTATTTAAGGAGAATCAACTGGGAAATAATTAGATAACGTTTAAAGAAACTGTTTTATAATATAACATAGAGGATTGTATATCTGATTGTCCGGTAGAAATCCAGTCTACAGACATAACAGTTTTTATCTTGAACTAATAAAAACCTCGCTCCAGCGTTGTTCAGTAATCCTGCAGTTCCGAGGTCATTCCACTGGCGAGAAGCGTGATCAGTTCCCAGGGCAGGTGATCTTCTAATCGGACAACTCGTCTGAGGTTGGCTGTGGGTTTGTGGAGCACATATCGTGTACCAAAAAAATATATTTCTTGTACTTTCAAATAGCTGTATGTCGGACCACCAAATGCAATTTATAAAGGTGAATACTTCATCACGTTCTCGCCCACAAGGTTAAGATTAAGATACGGTTTGAAAAATACAAAAGTGTTAACAGCCGCTTTTAATTCCTACATCTCATTTAAAAGACATTAGGGAAATGACATGTGAGTATAAACTGGTACTCCATATCTATTTTTGTATTTGTAGTCTACGTGTACAACTGACCCCCGGGGTTCTCTTAAACAATGTGGTCTGCTATCTTTGAAATTGTTGAAATCGGGCATAAACTAATAGTAAGGATTTGTGTCAAACATCTTTTTACCTCGTTTCGTCATTTCCGTATGTGTTGGAGCATTATTCACACCCACATAGTGGTTGAAGTGGACCAACTAATAAGAAAGTTCTGTCTCTGACGTTCGGATGCGCTGTGTGGAGCAGATGGACGCCATTCAACAGAACAAAGGTAGACGCAGTAAGACGATTACTTTTGTACATCGTGCGTGGAATTGTCACTCACAAATCCCTGTTATTACAGATTTAACACCAAGTGGTTGAATAATCTAAAACAAAGGATTGGCAAGTGTCTTAGAAATTAGGCCACGGTAACAGATCACAAGACGCGAGCGCAGAGATGGGAGGAAAGTTTGCGCGCGCGCGTTTGGGATCTTCCTTGGTCGGTCGATTTAGGCTGTTGGACAAACCGCTATATTTTATTACCAATTTATAACAAAATTATTTCTGTTATTTTGTTTTCATTCGCTCGCGTTTGATTCATTTCAAATTTTCTATTCATGCAAACCGCGTAAAACAAAGTCTAATAAAAACCTAGCTTGTTTCCATTAGAGTCCCAAATCGTTCAACTTATATAGTTATTGTAATAAATAGTAAGAGAACTTAAAAAAAAAACCCAAGAGATTACGTTCGATTGATTAATGACACCCTGTACAGGCTAAGTGGTAGAATGAAGAATTCATTAATACTAATATATTCTAAATACTTATATATAATATTTAAATGTTCTCTCGTGAAAGCTCTCGGTCAATAATCCAGAGTGGATCCGATTCATTGAGGTGTGTCCAACGTCCAGCTACATAAAAAAACAACTTCCCAATCAGTTCATTAATTTATATAAGGATACATTAAGTACTGCAGTTATTTAATTGACTTTTTAAAGCAATGGATATATTATTTATTGAAGTTGTACCCATTGAGACTAACTGTGTCTCTCTGAATTACCGAACAGACACCACTGATGTCAAAAATGCAACTCATGGGCTTCAGTGCCACACCCTGCACGGTGGAAATGAGTGTTGTTCGCTGGGGTAATGTATTCTTTACAGCCACACAAAGTCCTGCTTGTTACCCCGGTATGCCAGGCAGGAGCTGGTAGCGTTTACAGTGCGCCCTCTACCGTCTCCCAAAACAACTACAGGAGAAACAAAAGGAACATTGAATTTTTGTAATCCAGCGACATGAAACGAGGAATTTTGTCCGAATGTTGGCCAATATCAGAAACATCATAAGGTCTCGTTGTACATCATTTTTATCTGTTTAAAGGAAATATTTCCACACACAGGAAGGACAGCAACGTCTTCATTAAGCCCGTACACCAAATTTGCGCGCGTTTTGCCGTCAGTTTTTCACCGCAGGAGTATCTTGATGTTATATTCTGTACATCGCCTTGAGGATATTTGATCAGCCAATTTGGAGATGAGAGGAGATCCCCAAAAAATGTATCTGCTGGAAGGAAAAGTTTTGTCCCAGGGCAGTGAGGAGATAAGGGCCAGCAGGGGGGACCCCACAATCTCTCAGTGACCCAATGGGGGGCTACCCTTCACACTGCCTGACCCCAGACATGGCCCCAGGGCAGACATAGACAGTATCTAAAGTCAGAGGGCCTGGTGGCCTGGACCTGGAAGGTGATTCTCAGACATGCTTGCTGTGGTCATTTTCTCCGGTATCTTGTCTCACTTACGTCTAGGACAGTAGTCATTCAGTAGTCACACTGTCTGATCACTGACGTTCACTACGAACAACAACACCCCAGAATGAAGTGTACTGAGAGGATTATGGAGTGTTTTAGTCAGGATTCTGACCCGCTGGCCAGAGGACGAGGAGGCTGGGACCCCCCCTGCAGAGTGAGGGGTGACCCAGGGGCAGCTGCAGAGCCGGACATGGGGTGGAGGGGGGATGTGACAAGACATGTGTGAGGGAGAGCAGGGGGTGGCGTCCAGTATTTATAGTGTTCAGGTGAGGAGATGACGTCAGGAGTGACTGTGAATTACTGACAGTCTGATTGAACCTGGCTGTTGTCATCCCTCCCAAACTTGCATTATAAACTCAATTTAAAGAAAACTAGGAAGCCAGTGGCAGCTACTGCTCTGGTTCAAGGATGCCCACGGAGAAGGAGAGGAAGGCACAACTGTGGAAATCTGAGGACAATGCCACTACAGCTGAGGCTGTAAAGATACACAGAAGACAGGAAATAAGGGACGAGATCATTAACATAACCCAGTGACAGTGGCTGTAAGGCAGGAAGGTACCTGCAAGACTTTCAGAGACCACCGAATCTGAGATCTGAAGGGTTTTATTTAGCCCACAGCCAGCACAGAGGCTTATGACGGGTTTTTGCACGAGAGGGTGACTGAGGCAAGCAAATGTCTAAATTAGTCTTTTGTCATGTACAGGCAGTTTGCATACACTAACAAATCTCTAATCCCATCTCACATATTTTTGTATTTTCCCATCTGACTGTTGGACTCATTGTTGCATTATCACGTTTGACATCAAATTAAGGGGAAACAAAACACTCAAACATATTTTGAGCAAGCCAGACAAAGTCTGTATCTGCTTGGTTTCAGGATTCTCCTTCACTCACTTCAAGGACAAAACTGTGCATCTGCTGCCTTTCAGAAACAGTGAACGTCTGCCCAGGTTATTAGCGGAGTTCGTTTGTTTCTTCCCTGGGTAATGATACTGCAGATTAAATGTTTCTTGTGTGGAGCTGCATCTGAGAGGCACACAGATCTCCAATTTCAGAGTTCTGCACAGGAATTAAACCATCTTACACAGACAGTGGCAGGCTGCATAAAGCTTTCATTTTCCTCCAATTTGCCAAAAGAAAAATACATTTTATTTGGATCACCAATTTGTGCAGCGCAGGGTCATAGCCAGCCCAAGGCAGTACAGAAGGAAAACCAAGTAGCAAATGAGCCCGATGTAACTGACCCAGATTCATGAAGATCAGATGCATGCACAGCTGTAGAAATACGGCATGAGCTGGTCTCCATTGCTGTCTACACACAGCAGACTGTGCTGCCCGTGCACACACAGGATATCTGCCATGATCCCTGTCTCCTACTCAGGGGGCTGCTCTTTCAACCGAAAGCAACAAATAAGAAGCAACAATAAGAAGGAGGTCTAACATTCAACAGGACAAAATG